GTGAGGGTCGTCCTCGTCACTCTATTCGGGAGAGCGAGACGAAGATCTGACATAGTGGCAGTTATGGTGGCCCTGGTCGTGCAGAGCGTTCCTCGGGCAGTATGGTCGCTCGTTGTTTCCCCCGTTTCTGTCCCCATGGAGTCTTCGTTCTTGACGCGAGGGGCCGTGGTCGCGTCTCCCCGTATCAACGGGCTGGTCCCTTTCCAACGTGGGACGTCGCCTGATTGGTCGGGGAGAAGGGCTTCGAGAGATGTCCCGACTACGTCTCTATGGGGGAGATTGGGGATGTTACTATGCTTGTCGAGGAGGAGGAGACTGAGGTCTCCTGTGTCTTCTAGGGGCTCTCTGATCATCTTTGAGTGTCCTCAATCTTTCTCCCTGAGCGAAGATTAGGTAGTTGGTCTGATTTATCGCCGCGAACAGTGCCCTAGTCGTGGCTTTTGCCCCGGCGGGAACGGGGACCTCATGGAACTGAACGGGTTGGTAGTTCTGGGAAGGTGGCCGATCTTCTTCGAGTCGTGGAGGCGGTGATGATGACGAAGCAGCTACTTCGTCTCTATAGTCAGAAGGCTCAGGCATATTAATGGCGGAGACTGTGTTGTGGTCAGCGGTACCGGTATTATTGTCGGCGATGTTGTTGTTGACATCGATGATACGGACGTTCATGTTTTCTGGAGTCTGGTCAGCCATGACAGTCGGGGATTGTTTAACTTTAGTCTCAAGTAAATAGAATACGGGGAAGCAAGATTTCCACAGACGGTGCCACTGATTTTACCTAATCAAAAATGGACCGTCACAGCTAGCTCGGGCAGAAGTTGAATGAGATGGGGGGTACCTGCAAGACACTCTAATGGCAAAGTAAGTTGCGGAATGAGCAAGCAAGTATAAGTTCAGAGAAAAATGTTGAATATTTGGCCCTCTCGGAAGAGAGGGTATTTATAGCCCCCGGCGTTGGGCCAAGGTGTCTTTACTGGGCTGATCAAACAGGCCTAACATAGAGACTGACAGGTTCTACGTGAGTAATGGGGATCCGCACGTTCCCCCTACCTGGATGAAGTCCTCCGCAAGGTCAGGAGGATATGGACGCGATCTTTCCGGGACCAGGAAGACTCCACAATATCCGAAGACGTTGGTAGTCAGCTCTACGAAGAAGATGCTCGGGAAGAGCGCCTGCTCGTCAGGGATGGTCCCCGCGAGCACAAAAGGGAAACAACCTTGATCGACAAGGCCTTTATGGTCGGGGTGTGCTCGAGAATAATATCAGTTAGTGGTGCAGGTTGGCACACTTAGATTGGGCCTCACTGGGAGTTGGGCCAAGGGCAGGCCCAGTCCAGAACAATTTGTTTATTTAAGAAATACAAATGATCTAAAAACATTCCTCTTTATAAGAGCCTATAGTCTCCGTGCAATTACGGGTGGAAACGGGCTGGGTCGAGATAAGCTTTGTCAAGTCTAAGTCTAACCTACTAAAAACATCAAAGTCTAAGTCGGCCATGTTGTCATAGTATTATTTTTAGGCGTGAGTTTTTGCCTTTTCAAAGGTCTGGTTGACCTATTAACCTACTTAAAAGCCAATTTCATATGAATATATATAAATAAGCAGTCAATTAATATTTATACACTAAAATACTAAAAGATAAATGACACTAAAATTTTATTTGCATTAACTTATTTGAGCTTACATAGTAGCATAAGTTTTATGAGATTATTTGTTTAGAAAAACTTATGAAAAAAACTTATGACGTTGTTCATAAGGAGTTTTCAACCTATTTTCATAAGTTCTTCAAGATAACTATATTTTATTTTTTAATTTTAATTCAAAATACAAAATACTATTAATAATAATAAAGTATTCATATTTATTTAAATTGGTCGCTATGATAGGCTTAAAATCTGAGACTTAGAGTTTTTAGCTAAATAGGCTTATAAAAAAGTCAAGGTCTTTTTTATTTAAAAAAAGTATGGTATCGTCTGGGCCTGTGTAGGCTATGTCGTAGGTCCTTATTAGTTGATCCGACTTATTCTCACCTTTACGTGCAACATTTTTTATACAACACAGATACATTTATGACCACTATCTACTATTTGAAGGCTTTATCACCTTAGTGCTCTCATCTAAATCCCTAATGATTGTCATTAAAGAAGAAAAGAAGAGAAGAAGTATAAAAACTTATACATGTAAAAGAAGGAAGGAGAGTTGAACTTGGTGAGGTTCTAATATGAGTTCACTATGAGCTTAATGAAGATTCAAATGAGTTTGGAGGAGAAAGTATTTCAAACGTAAGGAAATGAAGGCTAAATCCTCTTTATAAAGATCTAAAACCTAGGTCTAGTATGTAATGAGTAACTTCTTACTAGGCACATCAATGGTTTCTAATTGTTTTCTTCATAATTTAAGAAAAGATAACTCATTTTCTCTCCACATCTCTGATAGAGGAGGTGAGGCAACCACTCTTTAGCCCATGCCCATAAAAAAACCTTATAAATACTTTAGCCTTAATACTGAGAAGGGGATCAAATCACTCATTCAAAAAAAATACATACAAAGCTTAGCATTCCTTTGCGTAAACTATCTCTAATCATCTTCAACAACCCTACACTCCACGTCTATACTTCTATTATACTATGAACCCTCTATACCTTTATTCTCAATAGGCAGTTATATCAATTCCACTTCCATTTTCGTGCTGTTTCCTTTATTTCTTTCTTCTTTTAGCTAGTTAGTGGCTAATTAAATACTAGTAACTATTTGTATGGTCTTTGAATTTATATAATGTAGTTATTAGATAAGAAACTGTGTTCATCATCAGAAAAAGAATGTAAAACAAACAAGATGATGAAAAAAGAAGCAATGGAGTTTTTATTATGTGAAAGTTGACTTGGTCTCGCATTAAATGAAAAAAAAAAAAAACTAGGGTCTTAAAAGCACTTCTAAACGGCTTAAGAAAAATGAATCTGAAAATAGAATCTACATACTCCAATGGCTCTTAGAGGTATCTTATTAACAGTTTCTTTTACACAAAATATATAAAATTGCCGGCTACAAAAACAGCTCAAACTTGAAACGTGAAGGCATTTAGACTTGCATATAGTGTAGTTTTTACTATATACCAAAGGGCTAATTAATTGGATTGACTTGTGATTTATCGTGGCTATGATCTTTTGATTTAAGTGATTTTCTATTTAATTACTATAGGATGGATGATTTGAGAATGCAACATAATTAGTTTAATACTGTTTGCCTTTTGTTAATTAAGTACTTATTTTATAACATGCTTTGTATTAATGCAACTTTGTCAATGTTTGGGGGTTTAAGTGCTAGTAACTAGTAATTGTGAAACATACATATGCATGAATGAGTAATTAATTCATAAATTGAAAAGGTTAAATAGTAATTTGTTGTACTTGTTTGCTGTCTATATTTTTGTTGTCAAGATTATAGTAGTATTAGTATGATATTAGTAGTTTTATAGTATATATCAAATAAACTAGTAGGGATGTGAAGGGTTTAACTTTAAGTGATAAAATAAAGGGTACCATAATCCCTTTGAAAGAAACTTGAGATTCTTGAATAGAATAATTAGATTATTCCTAATGCTAATGATACCCACCTCTCTTATACGTTGATGAGGCAGATCAAATCATGCACTCAGGACCACTTTCTCTATTTTACAAAACTTAGCACACGAACAACACACTTCCTCTTGCACTAGTGACAGAGTATAATATTTAACAATAAAATCACCACTCACACTAGATTATTGTTACTTACTTTTCGTAGACAAAATTGTTAATACTTTAGTATAAATTAGTTGCTATATTATTATTATTATTATTATAAATATTTAAATTTTTATATAAAATTTATTATATTGAATGAAAGTATTATATTATGTAAAAACATAATACTAATAATAATAGTAATAATATTAAGTTTTGTAGTATATTACAAAATAAGAGTAAGTATTTTTTTAATTAGTTTAACGGCAAAGTTTGTTGAATTGCGGAGAACTGTAGATTTGAAAAATAAAATAAATAAATATATAGAGAAATATAAATAAAGAATATAGAAGAGCATTGTAATGGATGAAGGGATCATTTGGCTTCTACTTCCATTACACTTGTAAGCTTTCTACTTCCTTCACAATCCTTCTCTCTCTCTTTTTCTCTCTATCTCTACTAGTTTCTGAGCATAAACCTATGATGCTTCTCATTCTCTTCTTTTACCACTCATTCTAATATGTTAGTTTTTTTTTTTTTCTATCATTCTCTTTATTTCTTCTTATTGTCAATTTTATCATTTATATTCATTGAGCTTGACTTCACTACTCTTTTGCATGATTTTTTTATATACATAAATATTCTCATTTGCCTTCATTTTCATGTCTTCTACTTCACCTCTTTTTTCTTGATGTTGATGCTGTAGTTTGCATAATAACTGAGGTGGTAGAACCATAGATATTAGCCATCAATCACTAGATAATAAGATCATGTTTTTTTTTATGCATTTAAACACCTAAATTTAGAAAATTAACGCGCAATTTGAATTTAAATTGGTGGTTAATTATATTTGATAGATAATAAATTAAATAGACTCTTAAATTGTAGATAAATAAGAAATTTACATGTTTTGTCACCGTTGAATCGTGGTTAAATTGAAATTTTGATAGAGTTTTAAAATTTAAGACGGTCATGATCACAACCACTAACATAAATTTATTAATCCTGAGTTTCATCGCTATCAACCATAATTTTTAGGCGTTCAATTATATATGTAAATTTGGAGAAATTTTATATAATTCTTGATATATCTATTAACTATTTACTAAACCTAATTAACCACCTATTAAAAAATTGTTTATTCCGCTAGTTCTCTAGTTATTTCTCTTTGTTTGAAAGGTTTTGTTTTTAACAATTTTTCAATCTTTGCTTGAAGGAACTAGTTTATTGTGTTAACTTTGGCAACAAGTCACTCATTTGGATCATTTTGAAGACTAGTTATGGCTATGCAACCACTTTACCTTAAAGAACATGAAGGAATTGTCCATAATTCTGTTGGACAGTATTCGTCTGCGAATTCAGCTCCATGGTGGAGTAGTAATGCCTATGGATCTCAATCTGTTTATGGAGTAGGAGATTCTTGTGGACAAATCAAACCCTTTTCACTCGAACTTTCAAACTACATGGATCAACTTGCTCCAACTCCAACTAAGAACTTAGTCAGAGGAGTTGAACAATTGTTTGATAAAGGACATACAAACCAATTTACCATCTTTCCAGGTACTTACTTTTTCAACAAGATTTTAGATTCATGTCTATGCATGGTTTTAAATTGCAGTCGCGGGTGTTGCGATAGTTTTGGGTGACAAAAAAATTTGAAGAAACTTGGGCGAAATTGTTTGATGCAGTTCCTAATGTAAAGGGACGCGTGATTTCAAATCACACTGCAAGGGTGGTTGCAGAGACTACCGCATCAGCAATATTGCGGCTGCAATTGCAGTTGGAGACTGCAATTTAAAACCATGTGTCTATGTTAGAGTTCCATTATACATTTTATGCCTGACCATTCAAAGATTTCTTCTTTAGATGACTGTAAGATGTCACTTGATGCACAAAATCATCAGGCAACCTTGTCACTGCAATCATCATATGCTGTTGCGGAGCCGTATAATCGTTTCGAGCTAGGGTTTAACCAGCCTATGGTAAAAAAATTTCACACAACATTCCCTTTGATGTTTTACCTTTAAAATTTTTCAGGACATAAATTCATTCATTATGTTTATCATCTTTTCCTTGCTAGATCTGTACAAAATATCCTTATATGGATCAATTTTACGGGCTCTTCTCGACTTATGGACCTCAAATTTCGGTTTGTCTTTACCTCGACTCTTTTCTTAATCCATGTATAAATCATGCAATGTATACAAGTACTTGAATGTGAATTTGTTTTTATTTGTGTACAGTGTGTATGCTTACATGAGAAAGCCAGAATTCTGTTTACAACTATCTTGTTAGTATTCTTCTGATTCTTTCAAATGTAATCGAGTTGATTATAGAATTCAATGTTAACAAGTTTTAGGCTTTATGCATGACTTGTAACACAAGCAATGAAATAAAATTGGATTATATGATGCAGACTGTGTTGAAGTTTTTGCATGTATTCACATTCTGCTTTTAGTTATCATTGGTTTATCTGCTGAAATTCTTTCACTATTTGTTAATTCGTAAATTTATCGGTATTTAATGAATTAGGGACGTATAATGCTTCCGCTTAGCATGACATCTGACGACGGACCAACTTACGTGAATGCAAAGCAGTACAATGGAATCATCAGACGCCGTCAATCCCGTGCCAAGGCTGTGCAGCAGAATAAACTGATCAAACGTAGCAAGGTATGAGATTATGAGTAACATTTCTTATGACAATATTTGACAACTTGTGAAATAGTATTTTTAAGGTTTTGTATTTGTCTTGCAGCCATATATGCACGAATCGCGTCATTTGCACGCAATGCGGAGGCCAAGAGGATGCGGTGGTCGCTTCTTGAACACAAAAGTTTCTGCAAATGGGAACGGGAAAAGCGGGGGCGGGGGCGGAGCATACAAAGAAAACGGTGGCCTAAAACTGCTGTCAAGTGCTTCGCAGAGTTCTGAAGTCGTACAATCCGAGGTTGGAACTTTGAATTCGTTGAAGGAAACAAACGGAGGCAGTCCAAATGTCTCGGGGTCAGAAGTGACTAGCACGTATTCACAGGGAGGTCTTGATAGCTTTACTGTCAACCATATCGCTTCTTCAGTCCACTCTTTGGGAGACATGATCGATACTGAACACGGTATCATCATGCCAACAAAATGGTTTGCAACAGCTGTCACTAGCAGACAGCTGTTGCAACCTTAAGATTCGATTCAGAAAGGTAACAAATGAGTTTTGTGCAATGTGAAATATTTTGCACCAAACTCATCCTTTCCGAGACCAGATGAAGAAGCTTCTCCATCTGGTGCTCAGGCAACTCATTCTTGGCTGGTGTCTTAGGCAATTCATCCTTGCCTTATAATATTTAGTAGTATTGTGTTGTTTTGTCTGTCTTTCTGTGAAGGCTCGCGCCGTGGCATGGGTGAACATGCTAATGGTTTGGTATCATGATGCAGTTTTAACTATGATAATGTGTTTGTTTGTGTTAAAATAAGAACATGAATTCTAGTTACATGTGTGTGTTTTTAATCTTGTCTACTAGGTTTGGTGTTTGGTAATGGATTTCTGACTTTATGGAACAATGTATTGTAACTCTACTAAGAAATTTCAAATTTTTATATCTTTTGCATATGGAAATGTCAAAATTTTATTTCTCCATTCCTAAGCTGATTAAGGTTTCTTACATGGAACATTAGAACAAAGTTATAGGTGAACTTGTGGATAACTTTACATGTTCTGATGCACTTTCATTTATTGATTGGTTAAACTTATATGGTTTATTTCTTTTGTATGAAAGAAAAAAAGAACAGTTTTGGTGGCATTTACAGCCTTTTGATGAGGCTTATTTTTCTTAGAGAGGAAATAGGTTTTGTTAGCAGTTTTCAAGATTGTATATGAAACTCTAAATTTCAAACTTACAATTTTTTTAAACATCAAAATAATAAGTTAGAACTTCAAAAGTCTTCTCCCTCTAAAATCTTTCAAAACCAACTCACAAATAAACTTTTAGGTCTCTTTACTTGATATCCTTGGAAAAAACTCAAGTTGGCTCTTGCAAACAAGTTAATGCACTATTTCCCTAAAATCATTTGATTAGAAAAACAAAATGAAAGAAATTGTCCATGGGCTGATCAATATTGAATAAAGAAATAGAGTTTAGTATGGACTCGGGCCCAACTAGTTTTAATTCAGCCCGATACGAAATTCCTCAAGAGCTATAACAAGACCGCTGGATCTGAGTATCAAAGGATGTTGACGTCACTCCTCCTACATTAGCCCAATGATGTCACTCTTTTAGAGCAGTTATTATTGACTTGTAGTTAGTTAGTTTGTTTGTTAAGAGTTTGTTAGAACAGTTAAACATTCTGTTTAAGTTAGTTACACAACTAAACTTGTATATAAACAAACTCATACTTTCATTATCAATAATAATAAGAGTTTATTTACTCCTATGCAATCAACATGGTATCAGGAGGAAACTCTTAAGCTTCCGCATTCTTTCATCAACGACTTTCTGGAATTGCTTCAATTCTGCTTCATTTTTCGTTGATTCCCCCTCATTCTACTTTGATTCTTTATCTTCTTGCCTTGAATCTTCATCTCCTTGCATTTGTTCACTTCTGAATCGCTTTCCTTGTCCTCTTCGATCTTGATTGTGTGATTTCAGCATTTCTTCCATTTTCCCCTAATCTGCAACAATGGCGGCTAGAGTTGTGATTACTACTGCAAATTTGCAGGATTCAACACACGATTACTATATTCATCCCAACGAGAACCCATCCTTGGTTCTTGTTACCCCTATCCTTGATGGAGGCAATTACCATGGTTGGGCAAGAGCTATGGAGATGTCGCTGCAGATGAAGAACAAATCTGGGTTCATTGATGGCACTATTCCGAGGCTTGCAGATAATGACCCCATGCTCTCAGCTTGGAAACGATGCAACAATCTCGTGCTTTCTTGGATTTCTCATTCTGTCACACATGAGATTTCCACAAGCATTATCTGGTTTGATGTTGCTACTGATGTTTGGAAGGATCTCAAGGCTCGCTTTTCTCAAGGAGATTCGGTTCATATCTCTCATCTCCATCATGAACTTTATTCTCTGCAACAAGGGGATTTATCAATTACTGCTTATTACACAAAAATGAAAATATTATGGGATGAAATGTGTAACTATCGCCCAATTCCTGCTTGTTCCTCCATTACTGGTTGTTGTTGTGAGGCAGTGAAGATTCTCAAGTGTTACAGGGATAATGATTGCGTGCTCTGCTTCTTAAGGGGTTTGAATGACAATTATGTTGCAGCTCGGTCTCAAATTCTTCTCATGGATCCTATGCCTGATTTACCAAAAATATTTTCCATGATTCTTCAACAAGAAGGCCATCTTAATATAGCTGTATTACCTGACCCTGCAGCCATGACAGTTCAAGCAATGCCTTCACAAGCTTCATCACAAGGTTCTTATTCTGGAAAGGGCAAGCCAAGTTATCAGAAATCTTACAACAAGGGAAACAGGCTTTGCTCTCACTGTGGCAGAACAAATCACACTGTTGATATCTGCTTTCAAAAGCATGGTTATCCTCCAGGTTTTCCAAATGGCTATAAGCCAAAGAAAGCCTATATTGTTGTTTCTGGAGACAGTGGCACAGTTGATGAAGCACAATCATCTTCTAATGGTGTGGAACTCACAAGGGAACAGCTTCAGAGTCTATTGGCCTTGCTTCCCTCTTCTCAACCCACCGCTAGCTCACTTTCTTCTCATCTTGTGAGCAGTCACAATGTCATTTCTAATGGCATAGGTAAGTTTTCTATGCAATGGATCATGGACTCTAGGGCCACTGATCACATTGCTTGTTCTCTAACTTTCTTTGTTTCCTATTATAAGATCAGTCCCATTTCTGTTTCCTTACCAAATAAGGCAAGTGCCATGGCACATTGCATAGGGACGGTTATTCTTTCTTCCACACTAACCTTACATAATGTCCTGTATGTTCCCAGTTTTGATGTTAACCTTGTTTCTGTCCAACAACTCACCAAAACTTTACCAAACAGACTTGTCTTTAGTGATAATTTTTGTTGTTTACAGGACAAGATCACCTTGAAGATGATTGGGAGAGTTGAGATCAATAATGGACTCTACATCATGATTCTACCACCTTTTCATCAAGTACAACCTTTAGCTTCATTTCACTCAGCAAATATGTCTACCACATTACCTGTAAAAATACCTCATGTTTGGCATCATATGTTAGGCCATCTTTCTTATACATGTTTTGAACAATTACACAAATTGTATCCATCCATTCTTTTATCCCAATGTGATCCTTGTGATTCATGTCAGTTTGCAAAACAAAAAAAGTTGTCTTTTCCTTTGAGAAAAACTGTTTCTGAAAATATATTGAATTTGTTACATGTGGATATTTGGGGGCCTTATAGCCAATCTTCTATTACTGGTGCCAAATACTTTCTTACCATTGTGGATGACAAATCTCGTTTTACATGGATCAAATTAATGAAATTAAAATCAGAAGCTAGACTGGTTTTACAAAGGTTTATTGAGTTTACACAAAAATATTTTCAGAAACAAGTAAACTTAGTCAGGACAGATAATGGTGTTGAATTCCACATGCCTGAATTTTACATAAAACATGGAATTCAACATCAGAAAACTTGTGTGGAAACTCCACAGCAAAATGGGATTGTAAAAAGAAAGCATCAACATATCTTGAATGTTGCTAGGGCTTTGATGTTTCACTCTAACTTGTCCATTCAATTTTGGTCCTTTGCTGTCTTGCATGCCACTTATTTGATCAACCTCTTACCTACTAGGGTTCTTTCAAACAAATTACCCTACATGATTTTATATGACAAAACACCAGATCTGGAACATTTAAGAGTTTTTGGTTCATTGTGTTATGCTACTACCATAACAGCTCATAGAATAAAATTTCAGGCTAGGGTCAGGAAGTATGTTTTGCTGGGATATAAAGAGGGTGTTAAAGGTTTTATTTTGCTTGATCTTCTTTCAAGAGAAATATTTTTGTCTAGGAATGTTATTTTTTATGAAAATATTTTTCCTTTTCATCAAGGCATTTCTGCATCACATGAATCATTATTTCATATCCTTCCTACTGAACCACAAGCTCCGTCTTTACCTACTCACATAAATCAGTCTATACCTGATCCTTTACCATCATCAGATTCACAAAATCTTCCTCCACTTTCCCCTGCTATTACTCAACCTGTCCTTGAACCAGAACCTATAAGGCAATCTGCCAGAACCAGAACAAAACCATCTTACTTGCAGGATTATCACTGTCATTTAGTCCATTCTTCATCACAGGGAACTCAATCATCTAACTCCTCATCTGGTACTCTTTATCCTCTCTCTGATTATCTCTCTTATTCTTCCCTTTCTCCTTACTATAAGTCTTTTGTTTTGTCTTGTTCTACTCTTATTGAACCTAGAACATATAGTCAAGCTGTGAAGGATGAGAGATGGAGGCAAGCAATGGACCTTGAAATTGCAGCTCTTGAGAGTACCAAAACATGGGAAATGACTGACTTACCACCTGGTAAACATCCAATTGGATGTAAATGGGTATTCAGGATTAAGAGGCATGCAGATGGTATTATTGAGAGGTTCAAAGCTAGGTTGGTAGCCAGGGGTTAGACACAACAAGAGGGATTGGACTACTTTGAAACTTTTTCTCCAGTTGTAAAGATAACAACTGTGAGGTTGGTTCTGGCTCTGGCAGCATCTAAGAACTGGTTTCTAAAGAAATTAGATGTCAACAATTCCTTTTTGCATGGCACTTTAGATGAAGAAGTGTATATGCTTCCACCTCCAGGCTATGCTACTGCTCAACCTTCACAAGTATGCAAGTTGACAAAATCATTATATGGCTTAAAGCAGGCTAGCAGACAGTGGAACCATAAGCTGACAACTTCCCTGCTTTCTTTAGGATATGTGCAATCCAAGAGTGATTACTCACTGTTTGTTAGATATCGTAATGAGAATTTGACAATTTTACTCATTTATGTTGATGACATTGTACTCACAGGTGATGATTTAGAGGAGATTACCAAGGTCAAACAGTTTCTGGACAATCAGTTCAAAATTAAAGACTTGGGCAATCTCAGATATTTTATAGGCTTTGAAGTAGCCAGATCTAAAGAAGGCTTGGTGCTATCTCAGAGGAAA